TTGTGTATTCTGCTTTCCTTTTTGCCACCCCCACGAAAGGACTTCCCCTGGAGCTTTCCAGGGGTTCAAATCCCCAAACCACAATCCAAATCACCAACTTAGGTTTCTTGGCAAACAGTGAGCCAACTCTCGCGAAATCCGCGGCCATCACGCTCGCTGCGCTCGCTCAGGTGGACGTGCTTAAGGTGGACGTGGACTCCTACGACTGCGCCTTGGCGCAGGCCCTGCTGCTCAAGGTGGAGGCAGCAGTGGTGGTCTTGGAGTCACAGCCTTTGCCCGGGCCCCGGACATCGGTGACAGATCCAGGGTCAGACAAAAATGCAAGCCCAGTATTTTGTAGCGCTTTCACGTACTCAATTCACAAAATGTACATCCTCACCAATGGCCTCAATGGAACTATACAAATCAATTAGAGTTTAAGTATAATTGGATAAGGGACAACACACCATCGATTTTCTAGATCAAATTGCAATGTTAAATCATAATTACTCTATCTCAATTTAGACTTTACACAAAACTGCCTTTCCAATATACGATTACCTCTACACGCCAGTTCACATGTTTCCAAATGTAGTGAAACATAGTGCAGCTCGAAGTTCCATTTTATACAGCGATTTTAAGTAGGATTGCCGTTGAAGAAAAACAAAACCACTGGATCTGCCCTGCCCAAAACCGCAAATAAAACAACTCGACAGAACCAACAAAGCAACACCCTCTCCCAGAAATCTTGGCACAGTGAGTGGCTACCTCTTGAAAACAGTGCCTGAGGAATGTTTTTTATTTTTGTGATCTTGAGGTTTGTTTGGTTTTCTCGTGGCTTTTGTAGGTTGACAGAGCTGACTGTTGTCTTTTTCCTTTTGGTTTCCTTGGTTTGTTTACTTCCATAGAAGTTTCGGAAATGCAGTAGAACGGCTGCAAAGACTGCAATTTACCCAAATCCCTCAGACAAATTCCCAGAGTGCACTTTTGCGAATCTGCGAGCACTGGAAGCCCCCTTCTTTCCGCTTGTCCAAGCTGGTTTGCAGAAATCAAAGCCATGAGGGGCGAGAAAGTTTGCGGATCCAAAGAAGGCAAATCTCCCTGATTTGGTCGGCTTTCTAAGAGCAGCCACCCGTGGGGAGCTGTCCAAAAGTTGGAGCGTCTTATTTTGGTGATCTACGTCGTCCATCCCGTCAAATGCCGCCGCCTTTTTTGGGGCCCCCTAGAACAAGGGGACACCCGATTGTCATGGAGGTCGGTCCTCACAGGAAGGGATCCTTGTAATTTCTCATTTGATGATGGTTTGTCTTCTTAATTGGAACAGAAGAGCACCAGCCGCGATTTTTTTTTAAAGGTCTGTGTCCAATTTGTGGCTTGGCTCCCATGTTGAGAGACGAGAACTCCTGCGGCTGCAAGTTCCAGGACCTTCAACATACCTTGAGAGAATGGATCCTAAAGGAATCCTTCGGGGTATGCTCAAGCAGCTTGTTGCACGCCAAGCAGCGGCCAAGCCCCAAAGAGCAGTGCTCGTTAAGAGCCGGCGGGTGATTCATGGCTTGAAACGCGCAGGAAACCAGAACATTTCACTGACCTCCGTTCTTCAGCCCTCAACAGCTAAGCTGGATGCCCTAAATCTATTGCCTCTAGGGGAACAAGGAAAACACACATCTCCACGGTTCGAGGTTGGCTTTGCAATATTTAGGGCATCCATCGTAAGCCTATGGTCCGTTTGGGAGGGACATGGGCACTCACGAGATTTCTTCCAGGGCACTCACTTTTTGTTTGTCCAGTACGGAAGCTGGCAATTTCGACCGTGGCTCATGTGAGCAACTAACAACATGATTGGTAGTTTGTTTGCAGTGTGGGCAGGACATGGGACTGGCCCAACCCCGTTTTCGCACGTTTACCTATGATACTTGGAGGCAGGATGGTGCCCACTTCCACTTCCACAATTTGTCATGAAGGCCTTCCATTGGAACCCCAGACGACAACTCCCACAGGAGCTGTTCAACGCGTTGACTCACAGCGTGAGTGACTGACGGACCGAGGATCCCGCCGCCCTTCAAGTTCGCGAGAAAATTCCACAGCCTCGACCCCCTGACCCAGGGCGTGGCCGGCTGCTCCCTGAGCTACCAGCTGCAGATGCTGCAGCCGCGCCTCCGTCCACCGAAATGGGTAAGCGGAGAAACGACCACCCTGCAAATTGGGAGGGAACCCAAAGAGGGGTTCCCCCAAAAGGGGATTCCTCTGAGAGTTGCGTTGTTTCTGCTTTGCCATGTTGGTCTCCACGCGGCATGGGGGATGTCCTCAAAAACCGGTTTTGTTTTAGTGGGACGGCGTTGGCTCAAAATCAACCAGGGGTTGATTTATCCAGGGGCATCATTAGGGGGCCGAAGGGGGGCATGAAGCTTGGAGAGCTATTTCCCGCTTCACAATCGTGCTAATCTCGTGGGGTAGCAAAGAGAAAGGCGGATCCTGGCACATCCAAGAAGTGGAGGAGGGCCTTGGCCAATTTAATTCATCTCGGATTGCAGATGTGAGGTGGGTTGTACCAAAGCTGCCTTGAGAGCTAAAATGGGGATTGACCTCTGGAGAAGCCTTTTGTTTTGTCGGGGCAGAAGTTCAAATGCATAGCGCACATCCTGTACAAGGGATTCATCACAATGGCAATAGCCAGTGTTGAAACATGCGGGAGTCAAATCCAACAGTCAAAGTCCCATATGGCTTTGCCGAACGACTCACTTTTTCCCAGCTCTTTTTGCCAGAGCAGCTCAGCCCAAAGCATTTGGCTAATTTTCCTTCTCCCTGACAAAGAAGCAAAACAATCCTTTTCCCGAACCAACAAAAAAGCACAGCAAATGCGTGTTCTTTTTTTGCCGGATTAAAAACAAAAAGCAACAAGGGGAAAGGTGAGGAGGGCCTTGTTCGTTCGAGCGAGAGGCGGTACCAGCTGCTGGTGTACTCGGAGCATGACACCGTCTTCGTGCGCTCGGACCTGGTGCCGGATTTGGAGGCCTTGCCCCCAGGAGCGGTTTTCGCCAGTCTCAAACTTCGGGATAGCGGTCAGGCCTTGGTGATTGACGGTTGTGACCGTTTACAGTTGGTGAAACCGGTAGCAATTCTGCCATTTTGGTTTAGTCATGTTTTATCGGATGTTTTACGCACGGAAAGGGGCTTGTGCCATCCACTTTCGTGACACAGTTGTGGAAAATGGGAGCTAATGAAACCTCCAGGGGTCCCGATTTTCTGCTTTCATTTTAAGCATCAGTGTGGATATTTTCGGTTTAACTTTTCGCTTAAAGCACTTATTTCCCGTCAAAGGCGTTTCTCTTGAGTTGTCTTTCGGTTTCACTCATGCTGAGAGGACGACTCTTCCCATGGACCCAGTACCCGTTGCGCTTCCCCGTCGACCCTGCCGACTGCTTCCGCCGGTCCCGGTTCCTGCACCACACCGACGCGGCGGACCGGTCTTTGGGCGGACCCGGAGGACGAAGCCTGTTTGGAGGGGGGGGGTGTTCAAGCGTTTGTGCAGTTTGCCAGTATTTCTGTTTTGGCGGAAGGGGGTCGGGGTTCAGGTTCTGTCAATCAACATGTGAAGTAGCTATCAAAAAGCCCCGTTTTGGTTGGAGAGCTGTTGGAAGTGCAAGGGGCAGAGCAATCACGAGCTGTTGGGCATGTGTGGCCAAGTGTGACGGGACAGGTTGCCATTGTCGATGTTTGGTTCTGTGAAGCCAACGAAAGCCAGCAATCGCAGACTCTGAGTTTCACACACTGGAATGCCTGGTAACAAGCAGAAGCACCAGCAAGGTATAGCAGGATGTACTTACAGTACTGTGTTGTTTTTCCGTCTCTGACTCCAGGAGAGCGGTTGACACCTCCAACTATCCCCCTGGACTACGTGCGGCATTGGCTGAACACAAAGCAGCCCATTGAAGCCCTGGACGAGGGTTGTTTCTTGAAACAACCAGCCTTCAAGTAGGAG